TCCAGACAGACGCAGGTTAAGATCCTCCCTGGTAAGCCAGCTCGTGGGCTACACAGAATATTAGAAATGGGTTAGAACAATATGTAAGAGCTAGCCATAAGGAACTGGAACTATCCGGGCCAGGCAGTGTTTGAAAGAATACAGTTTCCGTGTAATTATTTCTGGGTATAAGCTAGCCATGCGGGCGGCCGGGTGCCGGGGACGCAGCCCTGCCACCGCTCCTATTTCAACACACATGTACCCACCCACAGACACAAAACAAAAACAGTTTTCTGAAAAGAGCCTTCTAAGCCGTATTGGCTCTGTGCCTAAGAAACTCTGGATTTGCCTCTGTAGTCTACCACTCATCTACTAAGTATTTTCTTAGGGAAGCTTCACAACAGGAAGGTGGAGGAAATTCTGTGTAATTTGGACTTCACCAAGAGTCCCAGAGAGGTTAGCTGATTGACTCAAGGTCACATAGCAACTTAATAAAGATACAACTCCTCTAAATGAGTTTCAGAGCAGAGACGAGCAGTTCTTATAAATTATACAAGACTGAACACACGTCTTTTCCTTTTCTCAACTAGGCAGGGAAAATGAGAACTCAGCTCTGGGTAACATCATGACTTTGAAGAAGTGATGATTTCGAGTGTGCATACAAGACATTCTGGTCACACCAAACCTTCTACCCATTTTCATATTCCCGCTACTTCTCTCTCCCAAATTTTGTTTCAGTTTTGCTTTTGCTTTGTCATCTACTGGGTTTACTCAGGACTGGTTTTTACCAGAACTGGGCAGTAAGACTCTATCGCTACAGAGAAATCATAGAACGGAGCTGAAATATTCCTCCTTGCTCTATTCCTGATGGCACTGGAAGTTCTTACCCAGTCGACCAGGTATGTAAGGAAAACAATACTAGTCTTCTCTAGCCATAGATCTTGCATGTTAGAATACCAGTGAGCCAGGAAGAGGTGCTTATTGATATGATAGTAGAACAACTGTTACAGGAGTTGCCATCGGATGCGAGGCCCTCCATAGGGTAGAGGACCCTCTACCTGCCCAATACCTGTGGACCTGCTCAATGGCTTTCAGCTGGAGAACTCACTGGCAATAGAAAGGGATGTAAACACACTACCCCTGTTTTACTAAACAGATGTGTTGTCAAGCTGCCTCTTAAATATTTGCATTTAAGTCCATATACTAGTTCTGTCTCTAGTGGTCACCAAAGAAACTTCTGTGTACATTGAATGGATGTTAGGGCAGGGACGAACATGACTGGTCAAGGGGCAGAGAACAAGTGATGACTGAGCGCTCAGTAGTAAAGAGGATGACCATACCACCCCTCCAAGGAGTAGTGACCCTGAAGACGATGCACAGAAAGACTGTTAGAGCTGGATGATAGGGAGAGGCAGTAGGATGTTGCCTTCTGACATAGCATACCATATGCATGCATTATAAGATTGGGTTTTTAATTTTGTTTTTCTTTTATTTAACACCACGAATTTGGGGATTCTGGAATAAAGATAAAGAGTTATATTCTAAAAGTTAGCTGTGTGAAAGGTGGTTCTCACAATTCAGAGCCCTCACTCCATTCAGTAGCTTGAAGGACCAAGCTAGGAAAACACTCACCTTATATGTAAAGGAGCAGAATCTAGCCACTAGTAAGTCGAAGAGGACCCTAGAGGGTGTGCAATCTTTCAGCATGCCCTAGTGAGGCATGACAGAAACCAACGGGACTAGAGCCCAGCATTGTATTTTCTGAGTCTGAAGAGGTTGATCACTTCTCTAGTTTAATCTCATTATCTTCAGAAGAAAGAACATGACAAGCTCTGTTAACTGTATACAAAGAACAATGCCTTGCTGTTATAACACTGATTTCAGACCCCCAGAGGCATCTAAAAGCATGCTGGTCAGTCAGGTTTATAGAAGCACACTTAGCCACTGAATTCTTTTGTGTTCATATCCTCCCCACATTTTCCTCCCTCTAAGTGGGGTCAGCTGGGCTTTAATTCATGATTTCTGGAGAACAGCAGCACTGGGCTGTGGTGTCTAGGTGTCTATTTTTGAGCTATCAATATCACCTAGAAACCAATATAACCTATGAAAGTCAGAATGTCCGAGCCTCGCAAGAACTTCAGTTTAAAAAAACCTTCCTTGGGTCTGTCTATTCCTGGCCTTTTCAGATTGAATCTCCTAGTTTCTGACATAATCTAGTGGAAATGTTAATAGACAGAGAGGTGCCTTAGGACAAAAAAGACAACCTCTCTGCCTGGACAACTATGAGGTATATGGCTGCTTTTATAGACAAGTCTATTCCCAAGATCTAGTGCTTGTGTTCAGTAGCCTTGTCTACATACATCTTCAAAGGTCTCATCTACCTAAGTGGTCTGGCAGCCTTGGGGTAGGTACAGTGTGCATTATTCCTCCCAGGTTAAATAAAGAATTTCATCTTATCTATAGCCCCACCATGAACTTTTATAGTAGGACAAGAATTGGGCTGGGCATTATTATTTCATCAATGTATTTTCTTCCCTG